CATACCAAATAATCCAACCCCATCCAAAATAATGTAAAGTTTCACACTTTAAAATAAAGATCCCTTTAATATTTATGGATATTTATAGTGCAGTAATACAGTACAATATTATATGATAAAATATGGGTTTCCTAATCATTACTGTTCTTGACAAGTAGTAAACTAGTCTGAAATGGTTTATACCAAGCAGATTTGGCTCAGTGTTTGGAAAGAAACCAGACAGTTTAGTCTATTTTTTACCTTAATTAATGCATAACAAACACATATTCATAATGCATAAAGTGTTTACAGATGAATTAATAACGTATCTATAAAGTCTTTAAAAGCCATATATCAGGGGAGCCTTATTGTAAAGTGGTACCCTTTTTTAAAAAATGACATTACATTACAAGTGTTTGAACATGAATGACTGGTTAATACCTTACAACAACTGGGGATTTGTGTGAAAGGATGTTGAACAAAGACTTGGCCCTTCTATGAATATTGTGGCCCCTTGATGGCCCCTTACTCAGAAAAATCCTAGATCCGCCACTGCCACACATGCAAAATGTGTTAGCGTGTGTGATTCTGAAGTTTTTGTGTAACCAGAAATGATTTAATTACCATCTGAGCTCTTGTTAGGTTCATTTAATCTCACCTCTTGATGAATTCTGCAGTGCAGCATCATACTTTTGGAGCAAAGCGACGAGCGGACTGTAAAGTAAACTCGATATCAGTCCCAACCCGTAAGCATTGACACAGTTCGACTAGCTTAGCCGTCATCTATTGCTGTAGATTCTTGGTCATCCAGAACATGGGAAATTAAAAAAGCAAAGATAAACAACTGGACTTGTGTTCTGTAGCTGAAGACACACAGAGTTCTGCACTTGACACTGGTACCATTGATACCATTATAAATACATGAATCGATCTGCTCACTGCTACATAAGAAACGTTCTGTAAGAGTCGAATGAAATGAGACATTCAGTTTTGCGTAGCTCAAAAACAATCAGATTTGGGCCACATTTACCTGCAAGGTGTCTTGCCTAAAAGGAAAGAAGAAAAGGTGTACTTGTGATGCAAGGTATAAGTATGTGAAATGTATTTTAAAACACACAAATATTTAAAATGTGTAAAATAAAAATAAAAAATGATGTAAATTTACACATGTTGTCTGATGGTTTTGCTTAAAATGCTGCCATTAACTGTTGGAGTCTATCTTGTCTGTTAGCAAAATATCTCATGAACCACTGAACATACAATGAAACTTAATGAAAGAACATCTTGAGCTGATTAACTTAGGCAATTCAATTATTGATGCTATGTTATGTTAAATGGTTATAACTCCATCAAATTGGCAGATGTTGGTGTCAAATTTGGTGTGGTAGTAGCTGGAAGTCATTAACAGCCCATAGTCTGAGTGTGATGCCTCACAGTAACATTATTTTCAAGGTTTGACCAAAACAGCTCCACCAAAGTCATATCTCATCATAAGATTTAACTCCGAAGCGCTATCACCTAAGGTGGCGAGCAATAAAGTATGRTCTGCCTTTAATGTCTTAATGAGACATATGCTGAATCTTCTTTTTAGTGGTTAAAGACATTTTGTTGTGTGCGTGGAGTCTCTAGGAGTGCAAAAAAATTGAATTTAGTCTCAGCTTTAACTCAGATCAACATTTGATATTTAATACACTGGTTTTTTTGTATTTTCTGTTCCTTTTCGAATGTTTTCTTCTCACACAAAACATTCTGCTAAAGTGTAAAAAAAAAACAACAGAGATAATTTAGACTGAACCACCTCTGCATTCCACTTAACAACAACACTCCTGCTGAATAGAAAACAAGATGCATCAGGCTGAGGAATGACGTGTAAGGCTCATCTGTGACTGAAATTAAGCTTTGTTTTTCGGTTTACTTTCTTGGCATGCACAGATAGCACAGTTACAGGGATACAGTGCCCGTAGGTGGCTGAATAAATTTACTGTTTTATGTTAAAGTGCTGTTGAATGTTTTGTTCATGTTTTAAAAGGGACAGGCATTTCTGTATTTTTTTGAAGGAGTTTTAAGAAAGACTGCAAGAAAATCCTTGTAAAGAACAATTCTTCTGTTAATTGATTTCATATGAATGAGATGCAAAGTGTCATATTACAATAGTTATTTAGATTTTATTCATTTTATTGTGAGATGTGTTGTATTTATGTTCTGCAAAAGCCTTGTTTTCCTCCCACCATTCAAAGAGATGCAGCTCAGGTGAAAGAATCTCCCAACAGCCTGTGGGTGGAAAAACTGTGAGTGTAAAGACGTTAGTGTGTCTCTACGCATTAGCTCTATAATGGTCTGGCAACCTCTGCAGTGATGAACCTCCCCTCTCACGGAACACATGCTGAGATGGGCTCAGAACCCCGACAACACCGAGCAGAACTGAGGCAGGATGGATGGTCTGAAATACCTCGAAATGTGTTAGGGTTTTACTCTGAGCTTCGGTTTTCATTTTACAAAATACAAAGAATATGAGTACAAGTAATTTAAAAATGTACAAGGAATGCATATCGCTCACCACAGAAATTATGATCTCACATGATGTAAGATCTCACATAGTGTTGTAAATGATTCTGTAGCATATATACCTTACTTAATCATTAAAAGTTAGTTAACCTTGAAAACATTGAGAGATGATTCATATTTAATGAGCTATAAATAAACACATTTATTAATTATTTACACATAAAAGCTAATTATTTTCAAAACCAGCATACTTCTTTTTTATTCATGCTTAATAACTCATGAATTAACTATTCTATATACTGTGTGTATATGTATGTAAATGCTCCTATAAATGTACTTTCACACCATGTGTTAAACTTGTATTAATGGTTAGAGAATGTTAGAAGTGACCATAATGGTTTCCACAGGTGAAAAGGAACCTGTGGCCCTTAAGGGTTTTGTCTACATTAACAAATACCTTTCYGGCAGGGGTCTCCAACCTCCAATCTAGAGCTACTTTCACAAAATAAAATTGTCTGAGAGCTACTTTTTGCAGCATTTAATTTTAAACTTAATCTTAAACCATTGCAATAAGCTTGTTTTGCACAAAAAAAACATTGCCTTCAATTCACATGAAACCACCACGAATAACACAGAATTTACATGAATGTGCTTTTTGTGTTCATCCACTGATATTATAYTGTATTTCACACTAATAACTCAGGGTTTAACTGCAACAGATTTGTGCACAAATATTGTTGGGAGATGGGTCTCTGATTTTTTTTTCTTCCACAATGTGGACTCCAGCAGGAAGAAACCCCCTGTAGTGACATATACCGCAGTGGGAGGGGTTTCCCAGGAGTTTGGCAAAGTGTGTCACAAGGGGCTATGAAAGGTGTGTGTGAAAAGGAACGCAGAACAACCACGTAACCACGCGTCATCTGCCGATCGACCATACTGAGCTCTAAACTGATTGACAACCAAGCGGAAGGGACATCTATAAATTGATTGGAATTAAAGAAAGTTTGTTTGGCCAGRAACAAATTAAATTTAGKTTCTCRTAATTTTTCASAAGCACTGAAGAGCTACTTTAAATGAGCTCAGGAGCTACTGGTTGGAGACCCCTGCTTTAGGGTGCATTCACACTAGGAAAGTCCTTTGGTCCACTTGTTTGGTCCAGATCAAAAAGCAGACTTTTTTTCCTTTAGTGCAGTTTGCATTCACATTGAGCTTTTTGCAAGAGGACTATAATTTATAAACAAAGCCATGCAGGTGACGCTCATTGCTCCCAATGGACAGAAATGACGGGGGTGGAACATAACACACACACTCGGAAATAAAGATGATGCTGTTAATACAACTGACTATTAAGAATATCAAGAGCAGCTCATTTTTTTGTAGCGCAGTGTTAGCATTAGCAATGCTGAACAGGTAATGTTGCTAAGCTACGGTGGCCTGTAAAGTCCAAAAAGGCCCATGTTTCCTGTAGTTGGTTCGATTCTAGGCCAGTCTGTATTCACACCATTGAATATGTTTTGGAAGTAAMTAGCCTTTATGAGTAAAGCAATAATAAATGTGTTAATTTGTAGCTCCATAGCTAAGTGTGAATCATCCTTTATTAAGAATAATTTAAAGGTTGATTAACCATTTATTAATGATTAAATAAGGCTACATAAAGAAGTTATCATGACGTGTTACCAATGACTCTCACCAAACTGTATATCTGTAAAATAACTGTTATTGCCAATTTGTTTTTGCTAAGGTCAATTAGCTGTCGGACATCTTGAATTGGGTTGGGCTGCAGATGTACAACTAATCATAGTTTTATTAAAATTAATTTAGTCACTCAAACTGTAAGTCAGTCATGTTTGTCTTGCCCTGCAATGGACTTGCCACRGGTCAACAGTGACAGCTGCTGTAAAATGGCATTAGAAAGAAAAATCTGGTTAAAAAAAGTAATGAATGAAAATATGAACATAAACCATTAAAAAAGTATGGACACAAACATTTATTGCTTTTCTTTAGTTTTTCAGTAGCAGGTGAGAAGGATTAATGACATGTGCAAAAGAAAATATATTGTGCCAGTGTCTTTGCTTAGGCTTGGTAACATAACTACTTGAATATTTAAAAAGGGAAAAACATCACTTGAGAAGAAGCACTGTGTATAAATATTCCATGAGTACAAGACCAACCTTTATGTGGGAACTTATACTGAGTTATGAAAGGTTGTAAAGTTCAAAAGATAGCTTCATAGTTAAAACTGATGGTTTACATATATGACATTATTTCTACACAAAGCACACATCAGAAAAGCCCTGTTTAACTCAGATAAGATTCAATATTCCAGATTGTTACATAAATGTGTTGCATTGTAATATATTATTATTAGTTGTTTCCCGCAAAAAAATCCCTCAAACTGAGAGGGGAAGCTCAACAATAAAACCGATGACAGACAAAGTGAACACAGATTATCTTGTTTCAATTGATTCTTGTGTTGGGAAACCTGGTAACTATGAGGATGTTACTCACAAACTCACCTACACATTGCTGCAGACTAAGCACGCTCTGTCATGGTGAAAGCTGCAGCCTCCACCACGATGACGATGCGCCGTCTGCAAGATAAAAAAAAAACCTATCACTTTAATGTTTTTTTTTTAATTCAATATAACAGGTTATGTCACGAAGTAGGCAAGTTTTGTGTGAAAAAAATATATAAAAATGAGCTAAATTTCCACAGCTCTGCTTTGTTTTTCAAACATCTCGGAACTTTTTACACAATAATTGGTGAGAATGATTAGTATGAAGAACATGTGCCACTATTTACCTAGACAAGCGGGACTATCTCAAGTTTAAAACCATTAGAAAGAGTTATAGATCAAACGCTGTGCTGCATTTTAACAAGATGCGCCTCTCACAATGTACTGTTACCTCAGTAACAAGGGAGATCTCGGAGCACAGCCCGCGCTGCGCTGCTACTGCTAATTAACAACAACAAAACTGAGAGTGAGACCTTATTTATGTTGACGGCAAAAGCAGTTGACTGTTAATTCATTGTTCAGGTCAGCATGTTAGTTAATAAGGACTCTGCTTTGTTGCCTCCATCAGCGTTCTGAGTAGAACAGATTCATAATTTAGGCTTAAAGCGAAAGCCTCTTCAAAATTGTGTAGGTGGACTGAGGTGCAAAATGTTGATTGTGTGATGGTTTTGCAAAGCTTCCAGCATCTGTATTTTTGAAATATAAATGCGGGAGTTAAAAAATATGTAAAAGGCTACCCAAAAAGCTTTTTTTTTTTTTGGCTTAAAAAATAAAATTGTTGTTGACATGTTAGCATTTGTAGTTTAATCCTGAGAACATTTTCTAAACATTTTAAACCTGCTTGAAGGCCATTCAGTGGGTTTCTACAGCTTGGATCAAACCAAAACTAGCATAAGGGAGAGAGAGAGCTGTAATTTCAGAAGAGCAAAAGCTTAAAGAGGCAATATCATGTAAAATCAACTTTTATGAGTTTTATATCATGTTATAATGTTATTCTCTCATCAAAAACATGCCCAAAGTCTTGCTTCGACTCATTCGTGCATGTTTAAGAAATCCTGTAGTGTCCTGAGGCAGCCAGGCAGCGGAGCAAAAACGACCGGTTGGGACTAGAACCGCCTTTTGAGATCAGCTCCTCCTCTGGGCTGTGTCTCCAAGCCGAGCTTCCTCATCACAGAGCAATCACACACCTGGCACGTACTAAAATCGGTGGGACAGAAGAGGAAGGAGGTTCTTAAAGAGACAGAGGCCAATTCCAAGGCGTTTAGAAACAGATATGATGAAAAGTCAAGTTTATTTTCTATTTAAACATATAAAAAACATTTTAATAACAACTGAAGGTGACATAGTTACTTTTATTATGGTATAGAATTTAAATATGCTGATAAACACATATTATTCCCCTTTCAAATAATTTTAGATATGAATTGTTTTACATTCTGATCTCCATTCTGCCATAAGAGGCATGGATTAATTTTCAATAACAGCATCTAGATTGGCAGATCGTATTCCTGGTTTATATTCWTACATCACTTGGGTGCAGTCATTCTGTGAATTAAGTTATTGGGTTAATGAACTGTTGACTTAAGTTGTCTAGAAAAACTGCTGCACCAGGTAAATTAGAAAAATTTAAATACATTCAGAACCTGWTTATTCCTCTTAAAATCATTTTTGAAACATGCAGGTTGGGAAAGTCAAACCTTTAACTTTACTTTAAAACTGATCTATTTATTTATTTATTTATTTATTTATTTATAATAT